GCTCAAACTAAGGAGGTCAATAGTGTTGAGAACTGTTTTTCACCTAGAACACCTGGGTCCTTACCCTGGCTGCCATCCACAAGCGTGGGCTAATGGTCAAATTACTTGACCTCCCTGGTCCCATTGTCTGCAGCCAGCGTGAGAAGATACGGCCACTTCATGGGGAGGTCTTGGGAGAGAGTACATGACCTCCAGCTGACCCATGACATGGATCGAGGCAATTGGAGTCTCTTCACCTATGTCCCCTTTCCTTCAAATGTAGGTTCCACTTGCCTGCTTCACTCCCAGAAGCTGCCCCAATTAGATGGTGTTGAGACCATCTGTACTGAGAATGTGACTGAACCCGCTTAAAGTCTCTCTGTAAACTTTCGGATTCTGGTATGTCAGTGTAGAAATCTACCCATCTTGTAGCTACCCAAGACAACTCTTGTATGTGAGCTCCCTAGATCATTAAATCTGCCACATACCAACCAGAATTACTGGCCTTTTCTTTGGTTTCTTCCTACCCTCTGTGTACAGGGGCTACCTTCAGATTACAGCCAGGACAATGCAGAGGAAGTTGCCAACCAAGGGAGGTTGACCATACATCTCAGTTTTCTCAGAAGAATCCTGGTTTATGCTGCTCTCCTGGCATCCATTTTGTGAAGTCTCTCACACTCTAAAGTACCTTCTTTGGGCCAATAAATCTCGTCATCATCCTTTGCATTTGGTGGTTGTTGTCAAGATTAAATAAGGTTGCTCCAGTGCCTTGCCTTGAAGGAGTGTTCTATTATTATTTGCAACTCATGTTTTATTGAATTTTGAAAATGGGTAAACACTCATTTCTGCTGGGGTTTGAGAAGATTAATAAACCAACAGTATGTGGGATACATTTGACAGAAAATTTCTGTGTAATTATGCCTCAAAAAAACTCTTCCAAAAAGAAGTCAGAACAGTACCAAGTAAGCATGGATCAAAATAGAGTGCTTTTTATTCAAACACAGGACCTTTATCTCAGATCTCAACATGACCTTCTCTAGTTCTTTCAGAGAATGTGAAGTTCAACCAAGTTTCCAATAGTCTCTGACTGTGCTAATATTCCTTCAATACCTATTATAAGAGCTTTCTCAATTTTGTAAAATGAATCACTGGCAGCTGACATGTTCACAGCAACTGCTCTGGCCTAGCTCTGTTCCGAGGACTTATGACAATAACAGGACTATTCTTGGTTTACAAAGAGATAGAACCATGAATTCTCCATACCAGGCTTGGCCAATGGCAAGGGATGTTCCTGATCTAGGAATGGCTAGATAATGTGAACAGCAAACCTCTCAATGCCTTCAAGATGTCTCAAAGGCCATGACCTTTCCTATCATTGCTGGCCTATATAAGTCCCTTCCTCACTAATTTCTAGAGATTGGCATGATCATAATGAGGAAGAGGTTCATTCCAAAGAACATGCCTGAGGTTAACATCCCAACAGCCCCTCAGGTGAGGGGCAGAACTGGTTTTATGGAAAGAGTAAAAAAAAAATGGGCTATCTTCTCCTCAAATACTGCAAAGTTGATTCATACCAGTAACTTACAATTTAAAATCACTTAAAGGGGCGCCTGGGTGGCTCAGTGGGTTAAAGCCTCTGCCTTCGGCTCAGGTCATGATCACGGGGTCCTGGGATCGAGACCCGCGTCAGGCTCTCTCCTTGGCATGGAGCCTGCTTCCCCCTCCTCTCTCTGCCTGACTCTCTGCCTACTTGTAATCTCTGCCTGTCAAGTAAATAAAATCTTAAAAAAAAAAAAATAAAATCACTTAAAGATCATCTAAATTTTAAAATAATTTCTTGATAGGTTTTTGTGCTGATGCATGAAACAATGAGAAAAGGTAGCTTTCATTGAATATTATTACTTTTATGAACTATAGAGAGACCTGATATGACAAAATACAGGTGTACATTTACATAGGTCTTGCATGAGCCAGAGGACATGTCAAAAATAACTCTCCCTTGCTGCATACATTCTCTCTCTCACATGACACAAGGTATTGGGAGTAAAATCTGCACGTGTACAAATTCACCTATACACCAGTTTGTCATAATAGGGGATCAATAGGTGTCACACCAACACCCAAACTGAAGGCTCCTTCATTCCTTTAGTTTCTGAGCATCATTTGGGGACCTGACTTAAAGCCCCTTTTGGGAAGAGGAAACATCAGGCTAGCTACACATGCATTCTGACCTTTTGGTTTCTCCTGTCTCTTGTCAACATTGTCTTGCCAATGAGTCCTTTGTGGGCTGAGCTTACTGTTTCTTGACTCATTTGAGAATGATTATCATCTGCAATGGAGAAAACATGAAGGTAAAAAAAAAAAAAACACTTCTTATTGTGGCCACCATGTAAATGATGTGGGACTTTATTTTAATTCATTTTATTTTACTTTATTTATTTTATAGTACTTTATTTTATTTTTTACTGAATAAGAAACCTCTACAGACACCTGTTTCCCAGCAGGTAACAGGACAATGTCATAATATCTTGGGCACCAGGGAGAGTCCCTTTAAGACATAGCCAAAAAGTCTTTCATTTCATCACTACAGCCCTTCATTGGAACGAATACTGGCAGCAATGGTCAACTAAGGGAAAGTACACACATAAGAACATCACCTTCTTTCCTATTTCTAGCCTCTCCCTAAATTAGTGTTGATCTTGGCTACTTATGCTGGAGCTGAATGATGGGAAAAAATAACCCAAATAATCCAAACAGCAAATGCTGCATTCATGAGTCATTAAGTCATGTCTCTGGCTTTCTCATCGATTTCTTTTTCATTTTTTTTAATTTGAGCCAACTTTGTTTCTATTGTTCCTAGTACCATCCTATTGTCCCTGCTTAAACTGATGTGATTTTTCTATTTGTGTAGAACGAGGCTGTCCTGTGTCTCTCTTAAATCCCAGAGGCACACTGTGTGTACTTTCCTTATCTTAACAAATACCAAGTGCTCCAGAGCCTCTGTACCTGCTGTTCCCTCTGCCTAGAACACTCTTTCCCAGATCTTCTCCTTGATATCATTGTTCACTCATCCAGGATTTAAAGTCCATCCTCCTGGAGCTGGCCTGGACCTCTATACAGGATGCTGTCCCATGTGGTTGTTTTGTGATTCTGTACAGCAGATACTTTCTGATGTCACTCATTCTGTTATGGGCATGCTTGTTGTCTTTCTTGTAAGAAGTAAGCTTTCCAAGGTCAAATTCCTGGTGGAGCAACTGAATCGGGGTCACATAGCACAGGCCCCAGTCATGGGGAAAGCTCATGGTTACTATTGAACAGTGGATGGATGGATGAATGGATGGATGGATGGATGGATGGATGGATGGAACCTCCCATTTATTCCTAATTACCTTGTTTGAAGCCTGGATAAGCTCTTCACAGAGTATCATCCTTGCAAAACCAGGTATGATATTATTACTGCTCACTTGAGAAATGAGGAAAAGGAAGCTTGAAAGTTTCACTTGCCTGAGGACACTTTGTGATTAGGTGTTGCCTCCAAGATTTGAATCCACATCTGCTTGAGCCCAGACCTGGTCACATTTCCTTCACTCACACTGCCTCTGCTGAGCAACCACTTGCTCTACTGCTTCACATCATCTTTTGAATCAGTGGGGGAAAAAAAAAATTCTGAACAACTAAAAAAATTTCAAAGATTTATAATAGACTGAATTAATGAAATTGAATTAATTAAATGAGATATTCTTTGCAAAAAGAACCTTCAGAGAGAATGAGACATTGTGATTTTTTTAAAATTTTTGTTTATTTTTTTAATTTCTTTTCAGTGTTCCAGAATTTATGTACCACACCCAGTGCTCCATGCAATAACGTGCCCTCCATAATACCCATCACCAGGCTCACCCAACCTCCCACCCTCTGCCCCTCTAAAACCCTCAGATTGTTTTTCAGAGTCCACAGTCTCTCATGGTTTGTCTCCCCCTCCAATTTCCCCCAACTCCCTTCTCCTCTCCATCTACCCATGTCCTCCATGTTATTTCTTATGCTCCACAAATAAACTGTATGATAATTGACTCTCTCTGCTTGACTTATTTCACTCAGCATAATCTCTTCCAGTCCTGTCCATGTTGCTACAAAAGTTGGGTATTCATCCTTTCTGATGGAGGCATAATTCTCCATAGTGTATATGGACCACATCTTCCTCATCCATTCGTCTGTTGAAGGGCATCTTGGTTCTTTCCACAGTTTGGCGACTGTGGCCATTGCTGCTATGAACAGAGGGGTACAGATGGCCCTTCTTTTCACTACATCTGTATCTTTGGGGTAAATACCCAGTAGTGCAATTGCAGGGTCATAGGGAAGCTCTATTTTTAATTTCTTAAGGAATCTCCACACTGTTTCCAAAGTGCCTACACCAACTTGCATTCCCACCAACAGTGTAAGAGGGTTTCCCTTTCTCCACATCCTCTCCAACACACATTGTTTACTATCTTGTTAACTTTGGCCATTCTAACTTGTGATTATTTCCCATATATCAAGTACTCTGACTAAAGTGTCTATAAGCCAGAGCAGTCTGCCCTCAAGAGAAAGTATGTGGTATTGCACTGAGCCTAGATGGTGTGCTAAGGGAGCCGGACCCCACAAACAGGATAGGAAGCTTTATGAACCTTGAAGAAGGAGGAGGGAGGGGTGTAAGCAGATTGAAGACCACACTAATAATAGAACAAGGATGACAACACAAGCTCACTTTGTTGTAATAGGATTAGTTAGCAAGCACTTTTGCATTAATTTCATCTAAAGCCATGTACCATTACTGCATTTCCAGAATTGTTTTGGATCCAACAAGCTCTGTCTCCTAGGTTTCTACAGAGCACACACTAGCTGGGTTGCAGCTGATTCTTGCTGTCATTTCCTGGTCCAAAGCCAGGTTTGTCGTGTGACCATTCCCTCATTTATGGGAAGAGGGATGAAGGTAGTGAGCAGGAGTATAAAAGGAGGACTCCTAGATGCTCATCACCAAAGTGAGTTCCTTCCTCCCTGACACACCAGACAACCAGAGCTGCCCTCAACCATGAAGTTGCTGAGAGTCCTTGTGCTGATTGCCCTCCCCTTTTTCTGCTTTGCTGGTGAGTTTTGTCTGCGGAGGACAGTCTTTGGAGAGAAGATTGTGTCAGGGCCCTCTGGAAGACCTCCTGTTCCCCAAAGTCCAGTGCAGAGCATCTCATTTCTCCAGTGTCTTATGTTTCATGGTTACTAGTGTTTGGCTTCTCTGGGCTATGGAGGTAGTGTGTGGATGGAGAAGGGGCACACATGTTTTCAGGTTTAAAGGAAATCCTAGATCCTGAGCTTATTCTGCTAGAATTGAGAACTCAAGACCATTTACCATGATCTCTCTGAATGTGTGTCTCCTGGGATGTAAGAAGATGACCAACATCCTAGGGACACCCAAAAATGGCTTCATACCTACATAACTGAGACCACTTTTGCATGTTTTCTTCCAGGTTCTGGATGCCCATTACTGGAAGAAGTAGTTAACAAAACAATCGATCCTCAAGTGAGCATGGATGAATACCAAAACTTAGTTAGACCTTACTACACATCTCATCCTGATTCTGAGGAGGCCATGAGACAACTGAAGCAGTGTTTTCTCAGCCAGTCAAGTAAAACTCTGCGCAATGCTGCAGAGCTGCCGGTAACTATGTTTTCTTACGTTGAGCTCTCAATCTACTGAACAGGGACAAGCAGGTTTTAAGTTGGTCACTCATACCACAGCAAGTGTTACACATATTTTATTTTATTTCAGCGAATTTAATTGTGGGTGCATGTGAATACTTTGACATTGAGAAAAGGTCCCAGTACTGACTTGCTCCTTCACTTTGTGGAATTTTTAGGGAATGTAAATAAAAATGCCAAAGAGGGAAAAGAATACACACGCACACACACACACACACACACACACACTTTCTTTTTTCTTTTTTTTTTATTATGTTATGTCAGTCACCATACAAAACATCATTAGTTTTTGATGTAGTGTTCCATGATTCATTGTTTGTGTATAACACCCAGTGCTCCATGCAATACATGCCCTCCTTAATACCCACCACCAGGTTAACCCATCCTCCCATCCCTCTCCCTTCCAAAACCCTCAGTTTGTTTCTCAGAGTCCATAGTCTCTCATGGTTCCTCTCCCCGTTCGATTTCCCCCACTTCGTTTTCCCCTTCCTTCTCCTAATGTCCTCCATGCTAGTCTTTACTTTCCACAAACGAGTGAAACCATATGGTAATTGACTTTCTCTGCTTGACTTATTTCACTTAGCATAATCTCCTCTAGTCCCATCCCTGTTGACGCAAAAGCTGGGCATTCATCCTTTCTGATGACTGAACAATATTCCATTGTATATATGTGATGAAGTTCTAGAACCTAGGTGAGGTTCGGTGGGGTGAGGTTCGGAGCCGACAGCTAAGAAAGAATTCTTAAGACATCTCTGGTGCAAAAAGGCGGTTTATTAAAGCACCGGGACAGGACCCATGGGCAGACGGAGATGCTGCCTTGGAGATGTGAGGAGTGGCTGATTATATACACAGAAGTTGGGTAGGTGAGGACAAAGAGGGTGTTCAGAAGGGCTATTGGGGTAAAGAAGACTGTCAGGATATTGAAGGCCTGGTTACTATCAAGCCAAGGCCGTTTTTCCTCTAATGAGGCACTAACATAAAGACAATTGGGAGTTTCCTGGTGGAATGTTACATTCCTGCTATCAAGCGTCCTTGTAAGTGAGATTTAGGTTTAGAAGAAATTTAACTTTATTTACATTCCCTTCTACCTCAGCCTCCTTCAGTTTTGTTTATGGAGGGGAGGACGATATTAGGGCTTGAGGAACTGAGTTGTTTGTCTCTGGAAATTGGGCTATTGATAAGGTAACTTCTTTATTGTAAATCTCTAGGACATTTGTAAACCAAGGGAGACTCCTGCCTTGCAGGATTGTGATCTCTGCAGGTTAACTATTTGTTTTTCTTTTAGGGCAGTCAGGGGTGCCTGAGGAATGTCACATACATTACTGAGGGGAGCAGGTGGAGAGGGGGTGCAAGGTGCCAGCTTTTGCTTTGTCCTCAGCCAGCCTCCTGTTCCCTCATCATATGGACCACATCTTCTTTATTCATTCATCTGTTGAAGGGCAAATCTTGGCTCTTTCCACAATTTGGCTATTGTGGACATTGCTGCTATGAATATTGTGGTGCCTATGGCCCTTCTTTTCACTACATCTGTATCTTTGCGGTAAATACCTAGTAGTGCAATTGCTGGGTCATAAGGTAGCTCTATTTTTAATATTTTGTGGAACCTCCATACCGTTTTCCAAAGTGCCTATACCAACTTGCATTCCCACCAATAGTGTAAGAGGGTTCCCCTTTCTCCACATCTTCTCCAACATTTGTTGTCTATTGCCTTGTCCATTTTTGCCATTGTAACTGGTGTAAGGTGGTACCTCAATGAGGTTCTGATTTGAATTTCCCTGATGGCTAACGATGATGAACACTTTTTCATGACACACATTTTCTATCAAGATTTAAACAACTGATTCTCAAACAGTCCCTCACTTTTAGAAGTCATCCGCAAAAAAGATTCCCATCTTTATAGAAAGAAAGAGGAAAATGTTCATAAGAAAATTTTAAAAGACAAGAAAACACAAAAGAGAAAGAAAAAAACAAGAAAAGCAAGAAGGGATATAAACAGGCAGCTGAACAGAACAACGTAATACACTATCTCCTGAGTGTATTTTGGTCAGTTTGTTAGAGAAAACTATATCTCAAAATTGTAAAGAAGAAAAACTTATATATACAAAAATAAAATTAAATACTTTGAAAGAAAGATGAAAATTTAAAAAGACTTTAACAAAAGAAAAAAATAAAATAACAGCAACAAAAAGAGAATATGATCAGGTGGGTGAACAGAACAGAGCCATACACTAGACTCTGGGTGTATTTTGGTCTCTTAGAAGAAACTGCACTCCAAATTAATTAATTAATTAATTAAAATAAATAATGATATATACACAAAAGTTTATATATACAAAATAAGATTAAATACAACGAAGGGATAGAGTATGACTGTAAAAATGAAAATTAAACAAAGATTTTTAAAAAGTAGTTGATAAAATAGGATGGTGATTGAAAAATAAGGAAGAAAAATTTTTAAAAAGATAGAAAGAAAATTTAAAGAATTAAAGTTGAAAAACTAAAGAATCATGGGGTAAAAGTCTTGAGTTCTAGGTGTTCTATGACCCTAGCTCTAGAGTTTTGACGTTCTCATTGATTGGTAAACTTCGTCTTGGCTGGATGTTCTTGCTGATCTTCTGGGGGTGGGGCCTTCTGCATTGATTCTCAAATGTCTTTGCCCCAGGCAGAATGGCACTACCCTTGCCAGGGGCCAGGCTGAATAATCTCCAATTTGCTCTATGTGGCTTTTGTTCCCTGAAGACTTTCCACACAGCCTTAGAGGATTAGAATGAAAATGGCAACCTCCCAATCTCTGCCCAAGGGCCAAAAGCTTAGGGCCCCACTCCTCAGTGAGCCCCCAGGGAAAAGGAGTCAATCACTGCTGTCTCCCTGCTCTCCAGCCACACTTGATGCTCACCTACCCTGTGACTGAGTGTTTCTATCTCAGGCATGAGAACCCTTTCCAGTCTCCAAAGCCAGCAGATTCTTGTAGTGCACTCCCAGACTGCTTCTTGGGGGTGGAAGGGTGGTCTCCCCAGTTCTGGCACTTGGTGGACCACCGCTTGAAGAGAAGTGCCGTGACTGTGTCATGGAACATGGTCAATGGCAACTAGGAGCTGAGACCTCACTCCTGGGCTCACTCTTTGCAGCCAGCTTCCCCATTCTGATACCTGAAAGTTCTGCCGCACTCAGGCACCCCGTCTTCCTGTTACCCCACATATCCTGAGACCACACTGCTCCAGCTAGGGTTTCATCCATGCCTGCTTAGCTGCCTGAGGAACATTCCTCACCAGAGCAGACTTCTAATAGCTCCTGTTTTGTGCTCCCCTGCTCTGTCACTTGCTGGTAGCCTGCTGACAGAGGCTCCCTCTCCCCGCAGTCTATCAGAAGAACCCACTTGAAGAAGATTCTCCGCATCTTAATAGAATTAAAATACACTTTCAAGCAATCCAATGTGTTAGTATAAATTATTGGATTCCTTGACTATTACTTAGAGACCCAATGAATGACAAGTAGAGGTCATGGGTATGAATCTACAATGGGGGTGGAATTGTGTAAAACAACAATCCATAGTGTTTTTGTTCTCTAGATTTTATTCCCTATCCTAACATGCCATTGAAAACTTTCCAGGGTAGACAATGTAGAAATATTGCAAAGCAAAAGGTAAAAGTGTCCTTCACTGAGATGCTGACACAGGGCACAATGTGGATGGACCTTGAGCACATTATGATAAATGAAATAAGCCAGTTTAAAGAGGCAATTATTGTATAAGGTAATTTACATCCATTTTCTAGAGTACCTAATCTCCTAGAGACAGGAAGTAGAATAGTACTTTCTAGGAGTTGGGTGGTATGGGAAATGGAGATTATTCAGTGGGTATAGAGTCTCACCATAGCAAGATGAAAATGTTTAGGACATTGGTTGCACCATAACGCCAGTATACTTAACACTGTTGAACTGTATACTTAAGATGATGAAAATGGTCAATTTTATGTTATGTGTATTTGCCATCAGTTTATGTGTACTTACCATGAGTTTAGACAGTTTAAGCCTGAAAAACCCTGAAACCAAGGATAATGGAATTTTTTCTTTAAAAACCTTGATTAGACTGATCACTTGGAGTGCACATATCCATACTTCTCTGGTCTCAAAGGTAATGGTTTTGGTTTTGGACTGTTTTTGGTATTTCTAACATGTGAGGCCACATCGGAGCTCAAAAACTTCACACTTCCCTGTATTTGAGCTAAGTCTTAACAATTCTTTGTTATAAACTGATACGCACAGTGTATCTACAGGATACAATATTTTTAAGAACAGGAAACTTCAAGAAAACTTTATTACCAGGATCCCTAACAGGGAAGAGATCTAGAAACAGCAGCACATTTCTGGCATCAATAAAGTCTCCTGATCCTTAGAATGAGAGATGAGATCATTCTGATCTTAATTCAAACACCAACTTTGAATGCCAGATGTGTGTGGACAAACCCAGGAAGCCAAGAAGAAGACATGTTTGTTTTCCAAGACTTACTTTCTAACAGAAAGCTGAAAATCTGAGTAATGTCCCTGTTTTGTTTTCCAGAACATGATATATGAAAGTAACTGGTGTGTTATGTTTTAACCTTGTGTATGACCTGGGGCACCGAGGACTACAGAGAGTACAATGAACCACAACTTTCTTCTCCTTTTTGTCTTTTGATCTATTAACTGCAAGACAATTGTTGAAACCTTGAGCACATTTTCATTTCAATAAAATATCTGCAAATGGAAAGTTCGTCTTATGTTCTCTGATCAAAATGGACACTTTAGAGAGCCTCTGCTTTCACAGATGGTTGTCCCTGCACACACACACATACACACACACACAAATGCGTGCACACTCATACATAATTCTTCATTGGAGAGCACATGGATAAAGGACTGAGGAGTGTGAAAAGCACTTGGTTCATCCCCATGGGTAGCTCAACATGGTCCTCTCTCTGACAATGTGCTCCTCCACCCTCCTGGCCCCCATTTCCATCAGGACCATGTGGGAAGCTCTCAAGACTCAGGTTATGGTGTTTGGGCCACGTGCAGGTCCCTGAGACACTGCAGTCTTCATCTGTGCTGCAAGCACAGCTCGCCATGGCTAGGCCTTGCTCAGTTCCTGCCCTGTCCAAGAGTGTGGGGCAGGACTAGAGCCAGGGAGAGACGTGACTCATACAAACCATAAGTGAATTTGGTCTTGATTTTAATAATTTTAATATGTGGTCTCCATTTTGATTCTTGAAATATTTCATTAAAATTGATTTGCCTAATTACTGAGATTGGGAGTGCCCCCCCTGAAATTCTGTGGGTGCCCCTAGTCCTGACACTGCAAGTGGCAATGTGGTCCAGTTTCCCCACCAGGAGGACCTACAAGGCCAAGTAGGTTGAAGGAAAGGTGCGTGTTCTGTGGGAAGAAGGCAAAGCCAGTGGGTTTTATACTGAACCATAGCTCTCCTTACTTCTACCTGTCCCCACATTCCTGTCACCAGGGATAAGATATTGCCACCCCTTCTGCTTACAACTCATGGTATCCCTCTTCCTTCATGGCTATCTTATCACCCAGAAGAGTCTTGACCCTTCCTCAGGACTGTTTCTCAGCTGCCACCATGGCTGACTTCCACCAGGCAAAGCACATACAGAGAATTAGTCACATGATAGTTTTAGGATTCCACAAAAATGTTATAATTTCCTTAAAAATATTAAACAAAAGTGATTATAGTAATAATGAATATATACCAATAAACCAGAGTGGAGTATATTCATCTTTATACAGTTACAGTTATAAGATATGGTATTTAATATACTTTTTATGGAATCTGGACCAAAATTCCTAAGACTCACAACAGTCATAAGGAATCCCTCACTCTACCTTCTCCCACACACCTCAGGGTCTATGACACCATTAGATGCAGGCAAAATGACTGTTGCCCAGGACCCACATCCTAAATGATCCCCCCTATTACACACACACACACACACACACACACGTACACACTTATGTGTTAAGAACTCATGGACCATACTCTGTTCTTGGTGAAATAGGTGCATCCTCAGTGGGGAGGTTGGTCATAACATCTCCCTCGATCTCTCAAAAATGGAGACCTCAGTCCACCCTCTCTCACTTTTGGACCAAAAGAGAAGTAAAGGAGGAGAATCACTTGAAGAACTGGAGATGGACAAACAGATATGCAGGAATTTGCATCTATTGAGATGCGCATTGGCCCATTTGATGAAGGTAACTACAAGCTGAACAGAACAAATTACATGCAAGAATTGGTAATAGGAGTTTTGATAGACTGGAGTAGTAAAAAGGGGAGATGAAGGATGTCCAGTGATTGATCATTTGAAAAGACAGCACTGACTTTGGACTGGGAGAAAATAAATGGTGATTGCACAGTAAAGTTAATGGGGTAGCACATCATTGAAGTGTTAATGAGTAAAGGTATACAGGTGTTTTACTACATGTATTACTACAACATTCCTGTGACTTGGTGGCGGTTTTCTGGTTTTTTTCTTTCAACATTTTATCTATTCATTCATTCATTTATTTATTACTATTTTTTTAAATTAAATTTTATTTTTTCAGTGTTCCAAGATTCATCGTTTATGCACCACACCCAGTGCTCCATGCAATACATGTCCTCCTTAATACCCACCACCAGGTCAAGATTTTATTTAAATTCAAGATAGTTAACATATCCTGTAGTACAGTTTCAGGAGTAGAGTTCAGTGATCATCACTTCCGTAAAACACTCAGTGCTCATCACAAGTGCCCTCTTCAAAGTACATCACCCATTTTGCCCATCCTACACCCACCTCCCCTCCAGCAACCTTCAGTTTATTCTCTATAGTTGAGAGTCTCTTACAGTTTGCCTCCCTCTTTGTTTTTGTCTTATTTTATTTTTCCTTCTCTTCCCCTATGTTCGTTTTCTTTCTTAAATTCCACATATGAGTGAAATCATATGGTATTTACATTTCTCTGATTGACTTATTTCACTTAGTATAATACACCCTGGTTCCATCCCTTTCTGTGTCTGTGAAGTTATTTCCAAGTACAAAGTTAAAACCTGTATTCCTGAGGCATAAATGGATTGTGCTGAACTCAGCTTCTTCATTCATGTCCCTAATTATGAGTGATGTTGAGCATCTTTTCATATGTCCATTAGCCACCTGGAGGCCTTCTGTCCATTTTTTAATGGTATTATTTGATTTTTATGGTGTCCAAGAGAATATTCTGAATGAGTTTTCCTACTTTTTTGTCTTTAATAAATTTTTTTTTTTTTTTTAAGAGTAGTTTTCGGAAAAATGCAGAGTGAGGGCCAGAAGATGATGGGTGGCCTTCTGTTGGTTAGAGTGGTCCGGGAGACCTCTTTTTTTTTTAATTTTTATTTATTTATTTGACAGACCACAAGTAGGCAGAGAGGTAGGTAGAGAGATAGAGGAGGAAGCAGGCTCCCCACCGAGCAGAGAGCCCGATGCGGGGCTCAATCCCAGGACCCTGGGATCATGACCCGAGCCGAAGGCAGAGGCTTTAACCCACTGAACCACCCAGGTGACCCCCCCCCGAGACCTCTTTAAAGAGGTCTTCAATGAATTAATGAAGATTTCAGTGGAGTGAGGGGGCCTCAGTGAAGTGAGAAAATCAATGGAAGAAATGTTCCAGAGAGAGAGGGAACAGTATGTGCAAAGTCCTTAAAACAACAATCTTAGCATGGTGGAAGAATAGCAAGAAAGTCCACGTGGCTGGAGGAGAGTGAATGAGAGGAAAAGCCATGCAAGATGAGGTCAAAGGTAACCAGGGTCCAGAGCAGGTAGGCCACAGTAAGTCTTAAGGGACTATGTTAAATGATTCCATAAATGTACTTTGGAGATGCTGTATATAGTATGATCTATTTGTGTAATCATTAAAGGAAAGGATTTGTTATACATATAATTATCAAGGTTCATAATCACTCATCCAAAACTTTAGGGACAGGTGTATTTTGGAAATTAAACTTACTGTTTTTAAGAAAGGTAATATATGCCCATACCATCTAATGGTCACATGCCTAAAGCAGTCTTGGGACAGCAACCTGTCATCAAACATTGATATTTTGTCAACAAAACACATATGGGATAAATAAACACTATAAATAGCTCCTATAAGGCCAGTCTTTCAGTTTTTAAACCTATTTGGATTTCAACATTGCAAATAAGAGATGATAACTTTTGTATCCTCGTGGACAGGTCCGAAGGAGATTATGCTGAGTGAAATTAAATTAAGCAGAGAAAGCTAATTATCATATGGTTTCACTAATGTGTAGAACATAAGGAATAACATGGAGGACATTAGGAGAAGAAAAGGAAAAGTGAATTGGGGGAAACTGGAGGGGGAACGAACCATGAGAGATTGTGGACTCTGAGAAACAAACAGGGTTTTAGAGGGGAGGGAGGTGGGATGATGGGTGAGCCTGGTGGTGGGTGTTAAGGAGGGCACATATTACATGGAGCACTGGGTGTGGTGCATAAACAATAAATCTTGAAACACTGAAAAAAATAAAATAATAATAATAAAAGAGATTGTGAACCTATATTTTCATCTGTCGTAGAAAACTGGTAGCATCAAAATGGTTGTGAACAGTGGTTGGAGAAATCAGATGGGATGCATGGCAGGAGTATCTTTTATTCTACTTTATACAATTCTGAACTTCTGAATGCTATTTTCTTTTACCATATATCGGATATGTCATTGAAATAACAGTAATTTAAATTAAAAAAGTAAAATAAATGTGGATTCTAAGGCTTTAAAAAAAGAGTAGTTTTTGGTTCACAGCAAAATTGAGCTGAAAGTGCAGAGAGTTCCCACATATCTCCCACTCACACACAGGTACAGCCTCCCCCACTATCAACATCCCCACCAAGTGGTACATCAGTTACCCTGGATGAACATATATAGACACATCCTTACCACACAAAGTCCATAGTTCACATTAGGGTTCATTCTTGGTTCTGTAAGGTCTATACCTTTTGTGAAATTTATGTGATGTGCCCCCACCCACCTCATGGTACAGAGAAGTTTCACACCCTTAAAAATTATCTGAGCTCTAACTATTGGTTCCTTCCTCTCCCCAAACCCTGACAACAATGGTTCCTTTTAATGTCCCCATAGTTTTGACTTTTTCAGGATGTCTGCTACAGAACGCTGAAATCCAGTACAGCCCTAAGTCCCTTTGAAATGCTGGACCACTCAATGGGAGAAGCCTGGGCTCATGAATAACTGGATGTGGTCAGAATGTGTCATGGACAGGCCACTGGGAACAGCCTTCTCTGGGTCAGTGTCACAATTATTTGTAGTGTTGAGCAAGGAAGGGACATGTTATCTGGGATATTGTCTAGAAAAACTAGTTCATGGTGGTCATTCAAAGCAGTTGACTTGATTCCATTTTGTTGTCATGTTTAAATCCTCCACAAACAGTGGAACCAACTGTATTGCACTGAGATATACTATTAATAAGCCATTATTTTTTTAATCCACTGAAATCATAAAAAAAAAAGTAAAGATACAGATATGGAAAGAAAATTGAAGATATATATGTGTTTTGAAGGTAAAGCAAGAAGATCAGAGTCTCAGAAATGATTTCTGCAACCAAATGGAAAAAATTGCAGCTTGGTCCTATCTCTGAGCAGGGTATTTTCCAAAAATACAGTCCAAAAAC